TGAGCTGTTGTTCAGCATCTTAGCTGTGGAGGGCAGTGTCACTGGCCCTCATATGTGGGATCCGAACTGGGACCCTCTGGCGTCCCAAGCCAGTTCTTAACCATCGTGCCACTCGGCCGGCCCAATATTTTTTTTAATTAAAGTTTATTGGGGTGACAATGGTTAGTAAAGTTACATAGGTTTCAAGGGTACAATTCTGTAATATATCTATATCTATATGTCACATTGTGTGTTCACCACCCAGAGTCAGTTCTCCTTCCATTCCTATATATTTGAAGTATTTTTTAATTAAGCGTATGTACATTGCTTTTTTAGACATAATGCTATTGCACACTTAATACACTACAGTATAGAGTAAACATAACTAATATGCACTGAGAAACCAAAACTATTCATGTGACTCACTTTATTGCACTATTTTCTGTGTTGTGATTGATAGTCTGGAACCAAACCTGCAATATCTCGGAGATAGGCTTATATTGGGACTTGATCACCACAGCAAGCCTAGTTAACATCTGTCACCATACCTAGTTACAAATTTTTTTTCTTGTGATGAAAACTTCTAAGAGCAACTTTCTTAGCAACTTTCAAGTGTGCAATTCAGTATTAACTGTAATCACCATGCTGTACAGTTATTGGCTCATTTCTATAATTTTACCAGTCCCTCCACAGCATTACTTTCTGTATATCTATCTAGGTGAATGCCTCCCATGTTGTAAATTTGCGGTAATGCTTTTGTGATAAGAAATATGTTTGAACTCTAAATTTTCTTTGAATTGACTTTTTTTTTTTTTAAGATTTTATTGGGGAACTCGGGGAAGGGGACAGTGCTGGGGAATCAGGGAAGGGGAACAGACAAGTTGCTGTCCTTTTGTTCTTCAGTCGAGTTGTGGAGGACGTCGCTTCACTAGCCCATGTTGGTGTTATCATTGCGCTCTTCCCTGCTGAGGCAGTTGGTCGCCGGTGGCTCACACTGTAGCTCGCGGCAGCTCACTGTAGGCCCACTGCAGCTTATGCTGTCGCCTGTACCCCCCGGGAGCCCAGCTCCATGTAGAGCTGTTGTTCACCATCTTAGCTGTAGAGGGCGCAGTGTCACTGGCCCCCATGTGGGATCCAAATGGGTGGCCCTGCTTCTCAGAGCTCGCGCGGCCAAGCCAACTTTTGAGAGAAGAGACTAGTAATTTTCCTTTGTCTGTTTGAAATAAATTGTACTTACTGCTTAGAACAGTGGTAAGAGACTTCTTTCTTTTTTTCCTTTCATTAATGGCTTCACTAAGAAAGAATGCACATGTCATAGGATCCAGTTTGCCCACTTAAAGTGTACAACTCAATGGCTTTTAGTATACTGAAGAGATTGCTTTCTTGTTTGTCCATTTGGGCTGCTATAAACAAAATACCACAGACTGGGCGGCTTATAAAGAACAAATTTATTTCTCATAGTTGGTAGTCCAAGATCAGGGTGCCAGCATGGTCAGGTAAGGGCCCTCTTCCTATCGGAAACTTCTCGTTGTATTCTCACATGGCAGAAAAGGAGCAAGGGAGTGCTCTGAGTCTCTTTTATAAAAGCTGATTTCATTCAGGAGGGTTCTGCCTTCATGACCTAATCACTCCTGAAGTGACCCATCTCTTAATACCATTACCTTAGGGATTAGGATTTCATCATATGAATTTGAGGGGGACACACTCAGACCATAGCAGATTCATATATGTATTTTACTAAGGACAGATCATATGTTTTAGAAATTTAAGATGATGTCAGTGACCGTCTTGTGTTAATTCAAACAATCCCTTCAAATCTTTGGGAAAATAAAGATAACCCCATTAAAAATAAAGATAACCCTATTATAGCAGTTCACTTTAAGTATAACTATGGATGGTCAATAAAACACATGAAAAGCATTTAACTCTTGCAATAATTAATGATAATGGAAGTTTTAAAACTAAAAATATTAAAATTAGTTTACTTTTGTATCAAAATATGTGAACATAATTATAAAAATCAGAAGCATGCTAAATGATAAACAAGAAAAACAATAGCCCTTTGTTTTGCTTTTCTGTCTCCCTTCTTAGGCAACCACTTTCAACTCCTTTTGCTTGCTTCTCATTGTTTTTGTTTTGTTTTGTTTTGTTTTTCCTTTCCCTAAATAAAAGGTGATTCCATTCTCTCCAAGTTTGATATGGTTGATATGGTTGCCATATTGCTTAAGATAATATCTTCTAGGACCTTGAACTGGATCAAATTGTCTGATGTTATAGAACACACTAATATGTAGTATACCAAGCTGCTCCAAACCCAAACGTTAATATTTTGAAATTGAAACTTCTATTTTTTTAAAGAGTAGATTGATTACACTACTTAAATTGGAATCTTTTGGAATCTGAATTTATATATTTCCTAAAGTAGTTAATCTAGATCCAAATCAGAACATCAAATTCTTTTCCAAAGTGTATCAGTATTTCATCATTTAGTTTCAAGTTTCTTATGTTTCTGCATCTCCAGTTCCAGCTTTTTCATTTTTAAACAGGATAAGTAATCTTTAGATGTGACCTATTTAATGACACATTCACAAAATCTTTCTACCCTGACATTATTCTCATTGTATATTTCACTGATTACATCTTATATTAGATTCATTTCTTACCTGGTATTTAGTTAACCTCAGAGCCCATGTTTTGATTTGTTTATAATGAATTTTAAATAAAAATCTCACTATCAGTTTTCCTTAGGCAATTTACCTTCACTGTTAATGAATTCTGGAGAGACATCTTCCCCTGAAAGGATACTAATTTTTGTTTCCTTTTTGTGTTATGTGGTATGCCTCTTCCCTATTAAATGCCTCTTCCTCAGCTGGAGGTTTTATATCTTTTATTAAACTCATTCAATATTTCAATAATCTTTACTGCTAGGAAATTCAACCTAGTGTTTCCAGGTACTTCTTAAAATACTTTTTTTTTTTTAGGGTTTTATTGGGGAATTGGGGGAGGGGAACAGCATTGGGAAATCGGGGAAGGGGAACAGATAAGTTGCTGTCCTTTTGTTCTGCAGTCTAGTTGTGGAGGACGTCGCTTCACTGGCCCACATTGGTATTGTGATCATTGCGCTCTTCCCGGGTGAGGCAGTCACTTGCTGGCCATCGGACAGCTGCTCATGGTGGCTCATGGCAGCTCACACCAGCTGCTGGCCGCTCATGCTGGCTGCCAGCCACACACGGTAGCTTATGGTAGCCCACTGCAGCCCCACTGTAGCCTATGCCATTGCCGACGACTCATGGCAGCCCAGCTCCAGGTCGAGCTGTTGTTCACCATCTTAACTATAGAGGGCACAGCATCACTGGCCCTCATGTAGGATCTGAACTGGGGCCCTGCTGCTCAGAGCTGGCACCCCAAGCCAACTCTTAACTAACGCGCCACTCGACCAGCCCTTAAAATACTTTTAAATTTAATTTTTTTAATAGCAAAAACTCCAAAGTGTGTAAATGATTGAAATTTGATTTCCTTTAGTTTGACTAGGGAAAATGTTTTAAAATAATGATTTTTTTAATTTTATTTTTTATATCATTACAGGTTTTTTGTTTTAAACAATGAAGCTGGTTTATTGGAATACTTTGTGACTGAACAGTCTAGAAATCAAAAACCCAGAGGGACCTTGCAATTGGCAGGAGCTGTCATATCACCCAGTGATGAGGATTCGCATACTTTCACTGTAAATGCTGCCAGTGGGGAACAGTATAAACTCAGAGGTATGATTGAGATATGAGAATTAATATGTGATTTTCTTTTTCCATTGAGTGAATCCCTCCTCCCCACCCCCAATCTACTACCCCTCTGACATTGTATATACCTGTTGCAGTACCATTGACTGTATTCCCTATGCTGTACTCCATATCCTGTGACTATGTATACTGGGGGTGCCAAAAAAAATGTATACAAGTGGACACTTTGGTCAACATTGCTCAAGCAGTAGTTTGCTGTAATTAGAAGTGTCTGGACGCTGATGGTAACCACTTTGAGCACCTCTTGTAATTGCAGAAGTCAAATGTGACTTGTATTCATTTTTTGTTATCGGTATATATTGAGTATTACAATTTTAATAGTGTTTTCCTTAAACGTGTATACATTTTTTTGGCTCCCTCTGTATATATGAATTTATAAAATCTGTTTTAATAAGTAACTTTTTTTGAGTGAAACAATGAACAAGTCTTTAAGATTGACCCCTCTAAAAATTTGTGGAGATGAAACCCTGATTACTAAGAAATCTAAAAACATAGGGTTCTTTAAATGATATTTTTTATATCTACCATGGATTTGTAGTTTACTCCTTTTCTTGATTTGGTTTGCATGCCCTCTCTGTGATTTTCAAGAACTAGTGTACATAGTTGGGATTAATTAAAATGTTCATATTAATTAAAATAAAATATAACTTTATTTAGCTAAATTTTTTAATTTTTATGTTTTTTAATTTTATTTTATTGGGGAATTGGGGAGGGGAACAGTGTTGGGGAATCAGGGAAGGGGAACAGACAAGTTGCTATCCTTTTGTTCTTCAGTCTAGTTGTGGAGGACGTCGCCTCACTGGCCCATGTTGGTATTATCATTGTGCTCTTCCCGGTTGAGGCAGATTGGTCGCCAGCCCTTGGATGGCCACTCACAGCCGCTTACACTGGCTGCCGGCTGCTCACGCTGGCTGCCGGCCGCTCATGGTAGCTTATGGCAGCCCACTGCAGCTTCACTGCAGCCTGTGCCATCCCCGGCGACTCACGGCAGCCCAGCTCCAGGTCGAGCTGTTGTTCACTACTTTAGCTATAGAGGGTGCAGCGTCACTGGCCCATGTGGGATCCGAACCAGCAGCCCTGCTGCTCAGAGCTCGCGCTCCCAAGCCAACTTTTAACCAACAAGCCACTCGGCCAGCCCTATTTAAATAAATTTAATTTGTGTAAAAGTTTGTGTTTTTCATTTAATTAATACACATAAAGTATAAGGTTAACCCTAGCCACGGAAGCTGCTTGAGATCTGAAAGTATTAAGTACATGTTAAATGCTTAATAAAGGTTATTTCTTTAAATAAAAGCATATTTTTGTGAGAAATTTAAGACATGTCAAGTCTCATACCCCCATCTAGCTGCATGTAATTTATTCTCCTTAGGAACTATCCACATCCAGCTTCTGTGCTACTAGCAAGTTTGATGCTGCCTGCCTCCCCACAGTCAGGGACATTTGCTCTAGGGACAGTAGGACCAATCCCTGGTTTTCAGTTATCTATTTTCATGATGTAGACAGTTGTATTCCAAAAATCAATATAAATAACTTTTAGATTCTTTTTATCAGCCACCGATGCTAAAGAGCGACAACATTGGGTTAGCCGACTTCAGATATGTACACAACATCACACCGAAGCTATTGGAAAGGTATGTAGATTCATATATTAATGCACAAAAATGGGAAAGAATTTTTAAAAATTTCTTTTACATTTTTAAATTGAGATACTATTCCCATACGATAAAATTTACCCTTTTGAGTGTATCATTCCGTGGTTTTTTAGTATACTTGCAGAATTGTGCAACCATTGCAACTATATAATTCCAGAATGTTTTTGTCATCCTCCAAAAAAATCATGATCACTAACAGTCACTCTCTGTTTTCCCCTTTCCAAGCCCCTGGCAAACACTAACCTATTTTCTATTTCTATGAATTTGTCCATTTTGGGCATTTCACTTAGCATAATGTTTTCAAGGTTCATCCATGTCATTACATGCATCACATTTTATTTTATTTTTTTTATGAGTGAACAATATTCCACATTTTGTTTACCCATTCATCAGTTATGGACATTTGGGTTTCCATTTTGTGACTATTAGGAATAATACTACAGTATGTTAAAGTTTCTATGGGAATACATGATTTCAGTTCTCTAGGGCATATATTTAGGAGTGGAATTTAGGAGTGAGTCATATGGTAGTTTGTTGAATTTTTTTTTTTTTTTAAGATTTTTATTGGGGAATTGGGGGAGGGAACAGCATTGGGGAATTGGGGAAGGGGAACAGACAAGTTGCTGTCCTTTTGTTCTTCAGTCTAGTTGTGGAGGACGTTGCTTCACTGGCCCAAGTTGGCACCATCATTGCGCTCTTCCCGGGCGAGGCAGATCAGTCGCCGGCTTCTGGACGGCCACTCACTGCGGCTGCTGGCCGCTCACGCTGGCTGCTGGCTACACACGGTAGCCCATGGCAACCCACTGCAGCAGGAGCTGCAGCCTACCCATCGCCAACAACTCATAGCAACCCAGCTCCAGGTTGAGCTGTTTGTTCAGCATCTTAGCTGTAGAGGGCAGTGTCACTGGCCCTCTGGCGTCCCAATCCAGCTCTTAACCAACGTGCCACTCGGCCAATCCAGTTTGTTGAATTTTTTGAGAAGCTGCCAAACTATTTTCCAAAGTGATCAAACCATTTCACATTGCCACCAGCAATGTATGGGGGTTTCAGTTTTTCCACATCTTCACCAGTGCCCAGTACTTTATTGTCCTTTTTTTTTTTTTAATTGTTATAGTCATCCTAATGGATGTGAAATGGAATGTTATGCTTTTGATTTTATTTCCCTAATGACTAATAATGTTGAGCATCTTTTCATATGCTTATGGATCATTTGTATATCTTCTTTGGAGTTTTAGTTTTTGTGAAAAGGAGGGTCTCAGTACTTGAAATATGAGGCTAGAGATATCTAAAAATTAATATCAGCATAGTTAAAGTATTCCATACCTAGGTGATAGCTGGACTTTTAAAAAAAATTTTATTCCTAGTGTTTTTTCCCCATAAATGTTTTAAAATTTTTATTGTGATTTAGGCCTACTGCATAGTCTTCAGGAGATGCTACAGAAAAGCTTTACTCGTACTGCAAGATTATAATCATTGGGAATGATCAGAGAGCACTCGTTTGCTCCAAAGATACTTGCGTGTTACATTTAGAAAAATTATCCTAATTGAATATTGCTGAGTACATTTTTTGCTTCAATTATGGTGTTTAAAATTATGGTGTTTAATCTGAAATTAGAAATTTCTTATTCTAATATTTATAAAAAGTGAAAAAATATTCGTGACAACACACCTGGAATTCAGTTTCTAAATATTACCAGTTTACTGTGGGATGTGTGAAATGCTTAAACTTTGTGTGTCTTAAATTTTATCATTTTCAGAAATGTTCTGGTAGTCAATTCTAAGGTTAATTTAATTGTTAAAACTATTCATGTGTAAACCTCAAATGTATGATAGGTTGAGGGTTAGAAGAGCCTAAATTTTTTTAAAAAGGAATGATTTTCTTTATCTAACAGAATAATCCTCCTCTGAAATCACGGAGCTTCTCACTTGCACCTGGTGGTAATTCTCCTATATCCCAGAGGAGACCAAGTCAAAATGCCATTACTTTTTTTAATGTTGGACATTCCAAACTACAATCAGTGAGCAAAAGAGCTCATTTACCTCCAGATCATCTTGTGGAAGTCAGAGAGGTAAGTATGAATTGAAGTCAAGTTAAAATGCACAAAATAATTTTACCTGCTTGATTTTGCCACAGAAAAGTTTTTAATTCTTTTTGTGTCTTCTGGGGCCCGTGAGTTTCCCATCTAGTATGCTGAGATAATTTTTAGGTCATAAAATTCCCCGATTAAATATGATGTCCTAAGCTTCCTCAAGTCTGTCAACTATGTACTAGGTACATTCTCATTTTTCAGAAGTCGGTATCTTTTATTTCTCAAGTTAAAAATACAGATACCTTTGATGTAAACTTTATGATCAAAAGGGTTATTAAACCTCGTGCGAAGGTCTTATGGCCAAATAAGTGACTCTTCTTTAAAAAAAACAAAAACTGATACGTATATCAATATCTATATATAGATATATATATGTATAGAAAATTTCAAATATGCACACAAATAGAATAGTTAAATCCTTCACATTGTCTTTTCTCACCATTTGCCTCGTCTTCCTTTCAAATGGAGTACCAAATAATTCTAGTTAACAAAGAATGCAGTTGTTAGGTTCTAAATATTCCAGGTACTGTTTGCTGAGTTAAATTGGATAGAGCTTGTAGATATTTATTTGTGGCCTCACGCAGATATGTGGTTGGAAATTAGAGCAATATTTTAAGAGCCTTTTAAGATAACTGTGGCTATTCTTCTTTGGTACTGCATGAAAACTTGACAGTGGGAGTTTCTTAAATGCTACATGCAGTGTGGAATCTAATATATATCAGTAAACTTCTCATATCCTGTTACATGACAATCCGTTGGTCTTGTCTTGTACTTTGAATAGATCCAAACGTCTGCATGATTTTGTAACACCATGAGTTAGTCATTTGGAAAGCATTAGTTTACAGAGTTATTATACAGGTCTTGCAAATGTTGGTTTATTTTATCATTATACAATATCAAAAATTCACACTCATTAACATCCCACCAATCTCATCAGAAAAGGCTTTCAGTATTGGGAAGCTGTCAAACTTGTGACAAATATAGGCTTTACAAAATTCTAATTTTCATTTTAAAGCTCAGATTTTATAATTGGCAACAAATATCGTCAGTTTTTCTTGAAGTGACAGGCTCATTTTGTTTAATTTTGAGAAAATGTCTACCACAAACCCCTAAGTCTGAATATGTGTAGCTTCTAACAGTCATTCTGTAAAGGAAAACCAGTCCTGTTGTGTCTCCTCTACTACAACAGTCTACTCTCCTGTACTCTGGTCACCAAATGTGTGGAGGTTTCCCTCCCCACACCAAGCAATTCTCTTTTTTTCTGTGGACACCCGCTGGTTGTCCTTCAATTTAATTCAGTTCTACACTGTCTACCTGAGTAATTGTATCCACTTCAAACGCCCGTCACAAGCGCAGGTTGTCACCTGTGCCTCTGACCAACCAGCTATAAGTCTGAGCTTTCTACTACTCCTTCCTCAGTTATGATCATTTGCTAGACAGCTCATAGAACTCAGGAAAATAGCTTACTTACTATATTACCGGTGTATTCTAAAAGAATATAACTCAGGAACAGCCAGATGGAAGTGATGCCTAGGGCAAGATACAGGTAAGGGGCACAGAGCTTGCATGCCTTCTCTGGTCCTACCACCCTCCTAGTACCTCCACGTTTTCATCAACAGGAAGCTCTCCAAACCTCTTCCTTCTGGGTTTTTATGGAGGCTTTATTACATAGCCACGATTGATTAAATCAGTGGCCATTGGTGATTAATTCAACCTCCAGTGCCTCTCCTCTCCTTAGAAGTTGGGGATGGGAGAGCTCAAAGTTCTCACCCTCTAATCACAAGGTTGGTTCTTCTTTGGGGACTCACCAAAAATCACCTCATTACCATAAACTCTAGTGTGGCTAAAGAGTTTGTAATGAATAACAGAAAACACCCATTTCACCTGTATGCTCTAAATGTATTTCAGGAACAAAACCAAATATAACAAAAGATGCCCCTATGCTCTAATCACTTAGGAAATGACAAAGGTTTAGGAGCTGTGCGCCAGGAAGAGATTGGTGTCAGAGACCAAATATATATTTGTTATTATGTCATACATCATATCAAAATAATGATCTGTGAAGAAAACAACGAGTTCAATTTGCAACTTAGTTGTTCAGTGCTTTTTTCCTCTAGGCAACTACTGTACTTTGCTGTGCAACAGAAGTGGAAGTTTTTTGTTGTTTTTGGTATGCAACAGAATTGTACTTCACATTTCTCATATAGACTTAAAAATGTGTACTCAAGAGTCAAGATATGGTAAAACTAACAATTTTTACTGCTTTTTCAAGGCATTCTTAAGTACAACTGGCCTTTCTCCCCTTGTAAGTACATAGCACTGACGAATACAGTGACGGCCAGTACAATTGGCTCCACTGCCTTGATTTTCACTCAGATGCCAACAGTTTTACCCACCATTGCTTTTGTACCATCAGTACAAATGTCTTCACAATGAAAAAGGCAAATGATTTCCTAGAATTGTTATGAAAATAGTTTTGACTTCACAGACCCTCTGAAAAAAGTCTCACAAAGGTCTACAGAGCACACTTTGAGAATTGCTGTTCTAGAGTGATCCAGCTCTTGGAAGTTGTAAGGCAAAGATATAATTCAGAGTGATTTTGAAAGGAACATTTTAATCAGTCCATGGGTAAGTCCAGCAGTAGATAAAGTAACAGTTGGCAAAAGCGATTGTTGAGAATAGTCATATTGTGCTTGAACATGAATTTATTACTAAAACTTTAATTAAAATGACCTATTTTAGAATTTATTGTTTATTATTAGTACTATATCAAATCACTCCATTATTCAGTGCATGCTTCATCTGGTGCTATTCTAGGCCCTAAGAGTAGCTGAAATGGCCGGTTTGTAAGGGAGACAGACAAGTAAAATACAAGTGATTAAAATCCTGATTCTAATCTGGTTGTCAGACAAACTGATGCCACCTAATACACCAATCGCCGTATTCACCATAACTAGCTGCAAAACACAGAGTAAGCAAGTTTTCAGTTTGCCTGAAGTGTTCTTTTCCTTAAGGAACAGGATTTATGGTGTCAGGAACAGTCACTGAAATAGCTTCACAAATCAGAATCAGTTCTCTTTTTCTTTGTAAATATATGATCAGCTCATTTGTTTGCTTTGGAAAGAGCCATTACCAAATTAACATTGGTGGTATAATTATATTTTAAAGTTTATTTTTTTTGTTAAGAATGTCACTTTCTTAGGCCTCTTCACTTCTGGCATCAACACCAGCAGGTGGCTTTTTGGGGACATTTGCACAAAGAAACACATTTAAAAAAAATATTTTTTTATTAGTTTCAGGTGTACAAAACAATACAATAGTTATACTGAGAAACACATTTTTTTCTTTTAAGTGTTATATTGTGATAGCTCATTTTTTATGTAGTGAATATCTTACTTATGATTTTTTCCTTTATAAATGTTTATTGGCTTATAATATAGGAAAGTATACAAATTATAAGTGTATATCTTTATGTAATTTCCTCCATGTGATCATATCCTGGATCAAGGTATTAAATGTTACTGGCACCTTGGAAAACTCATGCCTCTCCATCACCACGCCCTTCCTCACTATCTGACTTCTAACACTATAGCTTTGTTTTGACTATTTTTGAAATTTCTACAACTGGAATCAGATAATATGTACTCTTTGAGTATGGCTTCTTTCAGTCAACATTATATGTTTGAGATTTACTTACAATGTTGAGTGCAGTTTTCATGGTTGTACAGTATTTATTGTATGAATACATATACCTTAATTTTATTTATCCTAGTATTGATGGGCATTTGAGTTGATGAACATGTGCATACACATACGTGTTGGTTACATGTCTAAGAGTGTAATTGCTTAATCATGGATTACATTTATTTAGCTCTATAAACTTAACTCTAGTAGATATTGCCAAACTATTTTCCAAAGTGGTTGTACTTATTCATAAAGTTGGATTATTGGAAGTTAGTTCCAGAATTTAGATATAAAAACATTTGTATACACACAGAGCACACATATCTATGCATGTATAAATGTGTGTAGATAGATACTTTCATACACTTTTCATGTAAAAACTTTTTTTCTGGTAAGGGTGAATATTTTATCCAATACTGCAACATGTTTTCAAGAACTAGTTTATGTGTGACCCACTTGATTTGCTTGGTAGGATCATTTTGCATCTCTTTCACTAGCCCTCCGATGAACTGTATTAAAAATTATCTGGAACAGAGCCTCTGAAAGCTAAAAGAATCTCTTCACTATGTAGAGTTTCTATGTGAATTAACATATTGCCCAAAGGATGGGCAATGTGAGAACTCTCTGCTCACAGCTGAAAGTAAGCATAGTAAATTCAGATTTCCTTTTAAAAAATTAAGTTGCTCGTCAGTCATGTTATTCCATTAGCTCTGTTAGGAAAAGTGGACAGGGCTCTGTCAACGGAAAGAACCTGAATCTCTGAAAATACTAGAAAGAATTTTATTTGGGCCTATCTGAGGACTATAGCCCAAGAGACCTTCAGGAAACCTTGGAACAGTGCTCTAACTTTGGAAACGTGGGGGTTGCTTATATAGGCAGAGGAGTAAGTGAAAAGTACATGAAAAGTACATCTGGTATGTTAGAAGTTTCCATTAGGGCACGTTCAGTTCAATGATTAGCAGTTTTACATCAAATACAAGGAATGTATAAGGAAGATAAGGTTGGGCCATCTTGTCCCCTAGTGTCAGGGAGTCTGGGGACAGGATCTGGAAATAATTAAACTGCTTTGAAACTACTTGAGGTGAATTTTTACCAGAATGTAGAAGGAACAGGCACTGTTTTCTATAGTCATTGATTTTTAGTGTTAAAACTATATAGGCCATATATATACGGGGGGGTGCCCAAAAAATGTATACACATGACTTGTATTCATCTTTTGTTATCAGTATATATTGAGTATTACAATTTTAATACAGTTTTTTCCTTTCTTAAAAAGTGTATACATTTTTTGGGCACCCCCTGTATATGTGACTATCCCCCATGTTTTGCCTTAGAAGGAGTTTAGATAGGCTCAGTATTCTTCCCTGGGTGCTGATGTACTCACCCCTACCTTTCCTCAGCTTCTTATCAAAGCAGAGTGTATTAAACTCCTTTAACCTGAAAAGCTTATATCTAGTACTTGCTTCAAAATCACACTAATGGGAGCAGAAAGTTAGATTAGGAAAGAGGAAGCAGGTAAACCATCATGTGTTTAATGGAGATTCAGAGTGAGCCCAACCAAGGTGCTGAGAAGAAAGTAGTTGAGAGCCCAGACTGGGAATTAATTTTACTCTAGAGTGAAATGTTTAATGCAGCTGTTAAAGATGATGTGGAATGTTCTTTGATGATGTATAAATTTATGCTGTTTATAAAAGGTTTGTCAGGTATAAAACTCATGAGCTTTGTTGCTTCCCCCAAAAAAGTGTACCTGCCACAAAGGTCACCATCTTTTTCTCAGTTGATAAAACACTATTAAATACTCATTAATCGAGACTAGCCAAGCAAACTTAAAATAGATTTCTAAGTTTAATAGATCCTAAAAGTGGCTCAAAAACTGAATATGGTCATTAAAATGGCAACTGTATATATGAGTGTATATATATATATATATATAGAAGTCATGAGTGGGACATACAGAACTGTTGTTCTCCTTAGATGATGTCTCATGCTGAAGGACAACAAAGAGACTTAATTAGACGAATTGAATGCCTTCCTGCTTCTGGCCATCTTAGTTCTTTGGACCAGGATCTCTTAATGCTCAAAGCTACTTCCATGGCAACTATGAACTGCTTACATGACTGCTTTCATATTCTACAATTGCAGCACGCATCACATGAGAAGGGTTCATTGCCTTCAGGTAAGTTATAGATTAAAGGTAGGACTTAACTTTAAGGGCCAAAACATAGAAAGGACTGCATTCCTCGTAATTCTAACAGCAGAAAATCTTAATTAAAAAGCGAACAAATAGAAAACTAGCGAGGCTCTTTTAATGATCACACTAATGTTATGAAAAATCTTTTTTTCTTTTTTTTAAGATTTTGGGGAATTGGAGAAGGGGAACAGTGTTGGGAAATTGGGGAAGGGGAACAGCCAAGTTGTTGTCCTTCAATCTTAGTTGTGGTGGGTGGAGCTAGCTCAGCTCCAAGTACAGTCGCCATCTGGCTGCCTGTTGGCAGCTCAAGGCAGCTCAATTCAAGGTGCTGTGTTCAATCTTAGTTGTGGGTGGGTGTTGCCCACCATCCCATGTGGGAGTTGAATCGGTAATCTTGTTGTTAGGAGCACGTGCTCTCATCAGCTGAGCCACCCTGCCACCTGTTGGCAGTTCAGCGGCAGCTCAGCTTGGGCGCAGCTCACTGGCCCATGTGGGAATCGAACCGGTGACCCTGTTGCTGAGAGCTTGCGCTCTTAACCAACTGAGCCATTCGGCCGGCCCCTAAAAAATCTTTTTTATTGTGCCCTTTTTTGAACCTAAAATGATTTTGGGTCTAATGTCTGATATCATTGAATATCTTTTTAGAGATCTTAAACTCAACATATCAAAAACTGAACTCAAAACCCACATCTCCCATATTTCTGTTAAAATTGGTGACATCCCTATTCATCCAGTTGACCAAAGTAGAAATGTTGGGAATATTTCTTGAGTTTTGGTGTAGTCCACTATTCATTATTTTCACATTGTGATACTGAGATATATATTAAAGTCTATTCGTCACCTTTCAGTTTGAAAAATAAGGCATATGTCTAGTATTTGAGAGCACCTATTTGTTGAAATAATTTACTGGGGAAAAGAATGTTATTGCATGGAAGAACAAAAAAACAAGTTTTTCTATTAAATGAGATGAATAAACTCATCACGTTGGTTTTTTTAATTGAGATATAATTGACCTATAACACTGTGTAAGTTTAAGGTATACAGCAGTGTTGATTTGATACATATGTATTGCAGTATGATACATAAATATATGATTTCCATCGAAGCATTAGCTAACACCTCAATCATGTTGTATAATTATTTCTTTTTGTGGTGAGAACATTTAGGATCTTGTCTCTTAGCAACTTTTAAGTATAGTTGACCATAACCACCATGCTGTGCATTAAATCTCTGGAACTTATCTTGTAGTTGCAAGTTTGTACCCTTTAACAACATCTCTCCAATTCCCTTAGCCCCATCACATTGTATTAATAGTAGTAACTTAGTATTTCACAACAACTCATTGTTCTCTTATTCAATTTACTCCCCTTACTGTAAAAGATAGATACTTTAGAAAGATATTGAGTCTCTCCTCAGGAAAATATTTATCATAGTCAGATTTTGATATAGTATGGATCACATCCTCACATGTACCTAAATTTCAATATTTCAAGCAACAAACTATTTTTGATGTCGATTGTAGGTATAGATCAGGCCAATAAATTAAGTATGTTCCCCTCCAGGAACTAATAGTCCACTTGGGGAAAACATGTAAATACTTTAATATGTAAAGTGCCACTCAAATGGGAGCAAAGTATGTGGGAGAAGATATGAATGGATTCATACTTCTGATAGAAAAAGGTCTGGGAAAGACATAGAAAAGCAACAAAAACCCAGTTAGCTTAGGGGTGTGAGGTAGGGGAGAGGGCATGCCAAAGAGAGAAGAGCCTAAATTGTGGGTTGTGAACATGGACTGCTGCCCTGGAGGAATTATAAGAAGTCCAATATAAATGTTCTCCTGTTATATGGCAACACACACTTATAAAAAACTTAGGAACTACCATACAATTGGAAGAAGAAACAAAAATCATGTGTTGTCCTATCAACCAGAAACTTCCACTGTTAATATATTAGTACACACCCCACCAGTTTTTTCTATTTTTCTTAGTTTTTGTTTCTTTTACCCCATTATTAGAAAATATATGTTTGTATCTTACATTTTGTACTTCATATCAAGAATATTTTCCAATGTGTAATACGCTTTCAGTAAACATAATTTTTATTGATTGCATTATATTACTTTAAGGGGATAGATGTACTTTGGTTTACTTAACTATTCCCCTGTGTTGAATATTGGATAAATTACCCTGAGCTATGAAATTTCTCATTTGGTAGTAATAATTTTGTCTGTAAAATAAAAGTTTGTTTCCAGTTTATGCTACTTAATTTAAAAAAAAATACTTCAAGTA